GTGGGGAGGGGAAAGAGGAGACAGAAGAGGAGGAGGAAGAGGAGGGGAAGTAGAAGAGGAGGAGGAGGAGGATCAGAGGGAGAAAGAGAAGGAGGAGGAGAACGATCAGGGGAAGGGGGAGGGGAAGAGGAGAAGGAAGAGGGGGAAGAGTGGGGAGGGGGAGGAAGAGGTGACAGAAGAGGAGGATCAGAGGGAGAAAGAGACGGAGGAGGAGAAGAATCAGAGAAAGAGGAAGAGGGGGAAGAGGAAGAAGAGAAGGATCAGAGGGGGAGGTGGAAGAGGAGGAGGGCCTCTCAACTAAAGCACAAGGGATGGCGGGGGCACAGGCATTTTGGGGAAGCGAGCAGTTGCACAACCCCAGCTGCACACTTGCCGGTGAGTCGAACAGAGAAACAGATTTCAAGACAGCCGATAGACAGAGCAACGTCTGGGCAACAGGGAACAAACCAACCAACCCGACAACAGATGGCAAAGCCGAGTCGGAGAGTCCCATCTACAAAATGTGACTAGCAGAGGGATGTTTCTTGCATTGTTCCAACAGAAAAAAAGTGAATCGGACAAGTTTTGGATCAAACCACAAAGGTTCCTTCAAAAAAACCCAAAAAACCTCCCCGGCATCAAGCCTAGAATCTCGGTTTGTTTGTAAGAGCTCTGCCCACAAGGGCAACCGTAGCTCTGGGCCGGCGCACATTTACATGGGCAACGCGCTTTGCACTCCAAACGATGGATCAGTTTCTGATGATTCGGGTGCAAAACGACTTGAGCAGGGCCTGGTTTAGTGACTTTTTCTTTAAAGGCTCTTGTGTTAGCCCTGCCAGGTAGACCAGATAGGCTCATTCTACTTTATCGTGAAGAAGAGAACTTTGCGAGTCTGAAAGTACAATTCTCCCGCCGTCTCTTTTACCTCCTGAGAAACCAGGGAAAGTCCCTTCTGACTTTCTTTCTACCCCCACCCGTTATGCAGCACAAGACTATGGGGCCTCTTATCAGAGGTGGGATTCAGCCAGTTCTGGAGAACCGGTAGCGGACATTTTGAGTAGTTTGGAGAACCGGCAAAATCCACCTCTGACTGGCCCTGCCAACCCCATCTCTTCTCTGCCTCCCATCGAGTCTCAGCTGATCGGCTGGGTCTTCTTTGGTTGCCCTGCCCAGGAGAACGGAGCTGGAAAGCAGGTTAGTGGGGGGGGGGGGGGGGGAAGGGGGATTTTGCGGTAACCTTCTCCTGCTATGCCCACCACGCCACGCCCATGGAACCAGTGGTAAAAAAACAAAGGACGGTCCCTTCTCAACGGCTTTTTCCACCAGTCAGGATCAAACTGCTCACAGTTGGCAGAATTAGCCTGCAATACTGCATTCTAACTATGCTCCAGAGCTCTTGAGAGGGATGGATGGATGCATGGATGGGCAAGCAGGTAGGCAGTTGATGATAGAAATATAATAGAGAATAGAATAGAATAGAATAGAATAGAATAGAATAGA